AAAGGAACAATCATTGCACAACGGTCAAACTAATATGTAATTAATAGCATTTATTGTAGCAGTTTCCTCCTAGAATACTAGTTCATGTAGTCTATAAATACTTCCTGTAATTCTCCTGCGAGGGGATCGAACTCCTGGTAATAAAACATTGTCCTACGCTGCCATACTTTCATCTGCTCCCGTAGATATAGCTCTCGTAGTTGGATTAAACTCCATCAATGTGTATGATGAATGGTACGTGCAATTGGTCTAATCTGATATGAGATTGAAATCGATCCAGAGCCCGTTTGATAACACTGGAATCGGTTGAATCGGCTGATTCTGCTGAAATTTATGAAGTTCTGGCTGAAGTGTCTGTATTGGTTGATACTGTTGATTTATGAAAAAGTTATTTCTAAAATATACTTTATTAATATACTCCCTCCGTCCCATAAAATTGTACCCATTTAAATTTGGATCGGAGTTTAAGAATGTGGGAATTGTTAGGAAATTGATGTAACATACCTCAAAAGTACAGCAGCGGAAGTTTAAAAATTTTCCCAAACAGATCTACCCTGATTATGACAAAACAACGAATATAACAATGATAGTAGATCTGAGTTAGAACTTATCGATCTTCCAGCCTAGCTGTGATAATCCTTGACCTTAGGTATCCACGTGATTTCTCCTTTCCGAAATAACGGTTATATCTCCCTAAGAGAAAGGCTAGGAAATCTCTTCGCAGGGAAATAAACTGGTAATACTGAATCTGAAGACTGGTGTGTCAATTATGAAGGAGAATGATGTATTTATACTAGTTCTAAACTAGTCTCCCAATCACAATGAAAGTCTTTCTCATTAATGAGTTCTAGTCCTGACAGGACAAATACTTATTAATGATTTAAATCAATTAAATAAGTAAAACAGTTAAATAATAATAGTAGGGGAGAAGAGGGGCTGCACGCCACCTCTCTCCATCTTCTATTAATTATTTAAAAGCCATTTTCTCTTCATTCTAAATTAAAGGAAAATACCATCTTTATTTATTTAACATATATACATCTTAATTAAGTATAATTAATCTAATTTATCACACTTAATTAATTCTATCAAATATAAATCTCCTTTATGATGAACTAAATATATCAATCCAATTAATATTTAACTCATCTTATTTCCAACATTATGAATTAAATATTGTTTAATACAATTAATAATATTTAATTCCTTCTAACAATTCAATCGGAAGGTATAATCACTTGTTGTGTGACCCATAGGGCCTTATATATTAAGCACTAATAAAATTAAGGTCTTAGCGAATCCCTAGACGATTCTCCAGACAAACTTAATATATAAGGACGTTTGCGAGGACTATACAAACTCCCTGTAATATAGAGCTCATAGTGATACAGTCCTTTCATTCAATGAACATTCAACTAAGTCTAGAACTTGATATTGTGTCTATTCCAATAACTTAGTCTCTATCTCTCATCATTTTAGATGATCCATAATGATCATATTCGATATCCAAAACGAATATATATTTGCATTGGCCAATGACTTTATGATCCATCTAGATATGAGAAGTAGAATGTTCTCTCTTAATCTATTATGAGGAATGAATTCTTTCTTGGCTCAACTACTACTCCATGTGCTTCGTGATGCACCCAACACATGCTGTATCTACCCCGATTGGAGTGCAAGTGTTGGTCATGGTCAAAGTACATCACTCCGCACATGTAGTACGTATTGACCTCAAGTCGGAGGACTATTACACTACTCTATACGCCGATAATCCCATAGACACATGAATAGAACTTATCAAATGGTTTCTCGGTGGGTATGCCAATATTCTCTAAAATATCTATGTGACCATCATGAATTACATGAACTCATAGTTGTGAGATCAAAACTATACTTTCTAAAAGTATGATGCAATCCACATACCAATCTTATCGCATATCATCAATATCTCATTCTTGATGATCATTGATTGGAGCTATTTTAGAACCTTATGTTCTATCATATAAGCTCCCACTTACTTATTGACAACATAAGTCCAAGGGAACACAATTATGAATAAGATATTCACAATCGAAATACGTAATCATCAATGTGTAATACCGTATATATCAAATATATAAAGCTGAATGTGATCAAGTACATATATCTCTAAAAAGTGATTGTCGCTAGGACATATATACTAACAATCTCCCACTTGGCCTAGTGCCAATCACCAATGCGTCTAACACCTAGACTCTCAAAAGTCAAGTATGTTTCTCACATCTCAAAGTGAATAGGCCAGCCAAATTGTACTCTACGGGAAGGTGTTCTATTGCAACATCTCCTCTTGCTATTTGTTCTCAAAACATGATAGCACACAGGTATTTTCTAGTTCCTTACTTTGCATCTTGGTTCCTTAGCTTGTGCAAATGCACCAATACAGTCACAATAACAATTATTGGATAACTGTCACTAGGAACTACACCTATTTCTGTAAGGAACTAATGTATCTAAACTCTTACCTATGTTGCATCAAATGCAACAATTTACTAGGCTCTAGTTGTCGAATTTACAATAGTTTCTTACTTGCAACTCTTGCAGCATTACTATTACATTGAGACTAAAAACATATACTGACTGTGACTCGTAGTTTTTCTTATCATACATGAAACTAGTGCTAGAATAATTACATTCTACTAGTTCTTTCTGTCTACCAGAAACAAAAAGATATTCATGAAGATTATGGGTGACCATTCTTTCACGGACTTCAATGAGGGAATATCATTCTCTATGATCAACATATATGATTATAAAGACCACGTTATCCTTGTTGCGCACTCTAAAAATGCAAGCACCCTCATTTCATTTGATGAGGTCAAACGATTTGACTATTTCATCAAAATTAACACTTGAACTCCTAGAGGCTTGTTTTAGCCCATAAATAGATTTCTCCAATTAACATATTGATATAGAATTTGACTTGGATAAAAAAAACTTCAGGTTGTACCATGTACACCTCCTCCTTGAGGTTTCCATTAAGGAAAGAGGTTTTGACATCCATTTGTTAAATCTCATAATCATATTATGCAGCTATAACAAGCAAAATCCAAATGGACTTCAGTTTTGCAACTGGCGAACAGGTATCACTATAGTCAATTCCTTTTTTTTTTGACTATAACCTTTAGCCTCTAGCCTAGCTTTGTATGTTTGCACCTTGCCTTCACCATTAATTTTCTTCTTGAAAACCATTTGGATCCAATGGGTCCAACCCCAATAGGCAAGTCAACCAAGTTCCATACTTGATTGATACACATCGAGTCCATTTTAGATTTTATGGCTTCTCGCCACCTCTATGAATCAACATCTAATATTGCTTCTATGTAGGTCTCAGGTTCATCCGTATCAGGAATCTTGACATCATCACGATCCTCCATGAGGAAGCCAAACCTAGTTAGTTCATGACGAATCCTAGTAGACCCACAGAATTGAATGGTTTGCATCCATTTGTCAAATCTCATAATCATATTATGCAGCTATAACAAGCAAAATCCAAATGGACTTTAGTTTTGCAACTGGCGAACAGGTATCACTATAGTCAATTCCTTTTCTTTGACTATAACCTTTAGCCTCTAGCCTAGCTTTGTATGTTTGCACCTTGCCTTCAACATTAATTTTCTTCTTGAAAATCATTTGGATCCAATGGGTCCAACCCCAATAGGCAAGTCAACCAAGTTCCATACTTGATTGATACACATCGAGTCGATTTTAGATTTTATGGCTTCTCGCCACCTCTATGAATCAACATCTAATATTGCTTCTATGTAGGTCTCAGGTTCATCCGTATCAGGAATCTTGACATCATCATGATCCTCCATGAGGAAGCCAAACCTAGTTAGTTCATGACGGATCCTAGTAGACCCACAGAATTGAATGTTTTGCATTTTGTTCAGGCTCTTTATTCTGATCGTGAAGAGGTTCTCTTTTATTGGACTATCCAATGCTCAGAGAGTTTTCTGGTGCTATACTCATAGAGGGAGAGTTAGGTGTAGAAGGAATGACAACCATGCCATTACTTTCTTCATAAGAATCACTTGCTGGTGCGAAGCGCTTCCTATATTACTCCCACTAGCTGAAGGATATCCTCCTAGAGTCATTCTTCAATTTAATTCTCCCATTGAATCCTTCGTCAGACCATCTAACGAATCTTCATTTTTAATGTTACTTCACCTTTCAATTTGATTAGTGCACATTTCTTTACATATGTAGGGCAACCCATATTTAATATGTGAAGAAAATGTCTTTTATTATACTATAACTCATATAGTACGTTTTGCACTAATCAAACTATTCAGAATGCATATTGAGATTTATAGCGTGTACCCTCAAAAGAATGTTTGGAAGAGAAAATGAATTCATCATAGATCTAGCCATGTCTGACAAAGCTCTATTTTTCTTTGCAAAAACGCCAGACTTCTAAGGTGTTCTAGAAGAGTTCATTATGACCGAATTCTTTGACCTTTTAAATAAATAAGAAATTTTACTTAAGTACTCTTTGGCTTGCTGTCCTTTTTCCTAGAAAAGGTTTATTAGTCAAGTTACTTGAAAGACAAGATTCACAATTTCCATATGACTCAAAAGCAAATGGTGTTAAATAATCTAATTTATTTAACGTTGCTATTCTTGTTTCATTAATTTGACCAAGTTTGCAATGTCATAGATAGGTAGTAATTTTCCTGATTACTTAAATGAGATCCTTTTATTTTATTCATTTAATATCTAATATTTCGATTGATAATTAACCATTCATAAGAAAAACATTTCCACAACAACACCATTTTACGAAAATAACAATTATTATTATCAAAATGGAAACAGAAATCTTTTAATGTCTAACATTTGAATGGAAATAATCTTCTTGGTAATAGAAGGAATAAAATAACAATTATTTAATTCTAATCTAAAACCACTGGGCAAATCTAAACTATAAGATCCTATCACGTTCAGCAACAACTTTTGCTCCAGTCTTCACGCGTAGGTCAATTTTACCCAGTCCAACTGCTACACTGCTTCTCAGGCTTCTGCACATTTTACAAATATGTAAGCCATAAGTTGTATCTAATAAGTTATTTAATGATAAAAATACCTGAGCTTGAAGCACCCGGTGCTTTGGCTAGATTAGCCTTATACAGCTCACAATCTCTCTTCCAATGCCCCTTCTCTTTGCAGTAGAGGCAAACATCCTTTGCAACCTTTGGCTTCATATGACCTCCACCTTTAGGCTTCAGAGTTGTAGGAGTAGGTCCAACCTTACCTTTCTTCTTTTGCTTATTCTTGTTCTTAGAACGAGACTTAGCATTAGAGCTTACCATAAGAACAGTCTTTCCTTTAGAGGTTGAGGCTTCATAAGACTTGAGCATGTTATGGAGTTCAGGCATGGTCGCTTTCGTTTTGTTCAAATTATAATTCACAATGAAGTTAGTAAATGAACTTGGAAGCGAATATAGGATGATATCAGCTGAGACACAGTCCTCAAACTTAATTCCAGTGGTAGCAACTCTTTCAATTAAGCCAATCATTTTGAGGACGTGCTCAGACACGTTGCCACCCTCTTGAAGCCTACACTTGAAAATGTCTGTCAGAAGTTCATACTCTAGAGTCTGACTTTCTGAATCAAACAGACTTTTCAAGTGTTCAAGCATCTCGAAGGCACTCATCCTATCGTGTTGCCTTTGCAACTCCATAGACATTGCAACCATCATGACACATTGCACAGTTTTAGCATCGGTGACGTGTTTCTCTCGAGCAGTCAGGTCAAACGTGGCAAACTCAGGAGAGTTGGCATCAGGAATCTTGGGTACCGGTGTGTCTAACACATACTCAATATTTTCTTGTCTAAGAACTAAACGCACATTTCTTTCCCAGTCCAGAAAGTTTGGTCCAGTAAGCTTGCATGTATCCAAGATACTTCTCAATGATAAATTTGGCATTCCTAAAAGCCTAAAGAAGTTCAAATAGAACGGGAATTAAAATTCATATAATAATTCCTATGATCACATTTAGTTAACTAAATAATTCGGACTTTTAATTATTTAGCTCCCACTATTTTTCATGCTCTTTGACCCCAATAAAAAGAACATATATTGTTTTCACAATCATAGTGGCCAAGATCCACATTCATAATATTACAGTCCCAGCTTGAGCTGATTACTGCAATAATATAATGGGTGGTAGGTCCCTAGACCAATTGCGTCCAAGCAATTCTTGGTTGATCAATCATCAAATTGATCGACATCCCTAAATTAACACTGATGCTTGGGCGACTCGAGCTAATTTAAGTAATTCAAAACCATCACACGATCACAAATATATGTATCTATAAACTAGTTCTATATTTTGTCGAATGGAATAAACACTTGGGTGAAAATATTCTTCAACGAAAAAATATTTCTACTAATTTAATTATGATGGGTGATGTCGTTATCCTAGACAAGACTTAAATTTTAATTTATGAGGAACATTTATCGGGGTATTAAATTATTTTATTTAATCAAAATGCTAAAACATATTATCAAGTAATATGCTAATGAGATCATATCTCAACAGATAAAATTAAGGTTAAAGCATGCATTATTATAAATCTAATTTATAAACAAATACAATATTTAACAATGAAAGTAAAACCATGCTTAAAATTATAATACAATTATCGGTGAAATTAATCCTTGTAAATCTCAAAGATAATAACTCTAATTAAAACAAAAATAATTTTACTTCTTAATTGTAATTTCAAATCTTTAGTATTAGGACTTCCAAAAGGTAAAGAACATTTAGCACCGAACATTTATACGGAGTGGAGTACACAACTATTACCGTATTCTCAAAACCAATACACTACTATTATTATTATTATTATCGTAATTAAGCTACTTAATTTCTCAAAGTCAAGCAAAAGGAAAGTAGTTCCCAGAACAGAGAGGAAACGATGCAGGGATTTCCGGATGCAGGGATCTCGCAGGATCCAACAAATTCGTCAAACTAGCCAGACCTCCGTCGGATGAAGCTCGTATCTCTTAAGACAATAGGGATTTCATCTGACTGTGTTCTGCCTCTCTTCACCATTTCCAACATAATTGGAATTAGAGGGAACATTTAGAAAACTCAAACCGCCATTAATGGTGGTCTAGCTTTCCGGGAGAAAACTTTGATGACGTAGATCCTCGAGGGTTGCACAGGCGCAGATAAGTCGTAGTTGATCGAAAGAAAAGGTAGAACAAAGGCGTGTGAGAGATCGACAGTCTTCTTCTTTGTTCGGAACCTTTAATTCGGAAGTCGTTCGCATCGATTGACAAAAATTGAAACTCCACGCCATAAAGGCGTCATAGACTTCTCTAAGCACATAGATCTTCTGAAGATGAATCGCGAAAAAAAACGAGCAGATCGGAAGAAGAAGAAAAGAATCTTATTCATTTTTCTGTGCTCGGTGCTCCTATGCAATTAGCAGATCAAAAAGATAAAACTCCAAATTGCAAAACAACGATTTTACTTTCCAAAATCAAGTCGACAAAAAAAATATATGATCTGCGGTAAAACACATATTTGATCCACACAAATATCAATCCAAATTCGTATAATGTCATTAAAATCAGTTTGGCTCTGATACCACTGATAGGAAATTGATGTAACGTACCTCGAAAGTACAGCAGTGGAAGTTTAAAAAATTTCCCAAACAGATCTACCCTGATTATGACAAAACAACGAATATAACAATGATAGTAGATCTGAGTTAGAACTTACAGATCTTCCAACTTAGCTGTGATGATCCTTGACCTTAGGTATCCACGTGATTTCACCTTTCCAAAATAACGGTTAGATCTCCCTAAGAGAAAGGCTAGGAAATCTCTTCGCAAGGGAAATAAACTGGTAATACTGAATCTGAAGACTGGTGTGTCAATTATGAAGGAGAATGATGTATTTATACTAGTTCTAAACTAGTCTCCCAATCACAATGAAAGTTTTTCTCATTAATGAGTTCTAGTCCTGACAGGACAAATACTTATTAATGATTTAAATCAATTAAATAAGTAAAACATTTAAATAATAATAGTAGGGAAGAAGAGGGGCTGCACGCCACCTCTCTCCATCTTCTATTAATTATTTAAAAGCCATTTTCTCTTCATTCTAAATTAAAGGAAAATACCATCTTTATTTATTTAACATACATCTTAATTAAGTATAATTAATCTAATTTATCACACTTAATTAATTCTATCAAATATAACTCTCCTTCATGATGAACTAAATATATCAATCCAATTAATATTTAACTCATCTTATTTCCAGCATTATGAATTAAATATTGTTTAATCCAAGTAATAATATTTAATTCCTTCTAACAATTCAATCGGAAGGTATAATCACTTGTTGTGTGACCCATAGAGCCTTATATATTAAGCACTAATAAAATTAAGGTCTTAGCGAATCCGTAGACGATTCTCCATACAAACTTAATATATAAGGACGTTTGTGAGGACTATACAAACTCCTTGTAATATAGAGCTCATAGTGATACAGTCCTTTCATTCAACGAACATTCAACTAACTCTAGAACTTGATATTGTGTCTATTCCAATAACTTAGTCTCTATCTCTCATCATTTTAGATGATCCATAATGATCATATTCGATATCCAAAACGAATATATCTTTGCATTGGTCAATGACTTTATGATCCATCTAGATATGAGAAGTAGAATGTTCTCTCTTAATCTATTATGAGGAATGAATTCTTTCTTGGCTCAACTACTACTCCATGTGCTTCGTGATGCACCCAAGACATGCCGTATCTACCCCGATTGGAGTGCAAGCGTTGGTCATGGTCAAAGTACATCACTCCGCACATGTAGTACGTATTGACCTCAAGTCGGAGGACTATTACACTACTCTATACGCCGATAATCCCATAGACACATGAATAGAACTTATCAAATGGTTTCTCGGTGGGTATGCCAATATTCTCTAAAATATCTATGTGACCATCATGAATTACATGAACTCATAGTTGTGAGATCAACTATACTTTCTAAAAGTATGATGCAGTCCACATACCAATCTTATCGCATATCATCAATATCCCATTCTTGATGATCATTGATTGAGGCTATTTTAGAACCTTATGTTATATCATATAAGCTCCCACTTACTTATTGACAACATAAGTCCAAAGGAACACAATTATGAATAAGATATTGACAATCGAAATACTTAATCATCAATGTGTAATACCATATATATCAAATATATAAAACTGAATGTGATCAAGTACATATATCTCTAAAAAGTGATTGTCGCTAGGACATATATACTAACAGGAATAAAATGGAAATGTATGATTGTGTTTGAGTAAGAAAAAGGTAAACGAATGATAGCCACACAAAACTTTCTAAAAAGGGAAATGAGAACTATTTTTTGGGACGTCCCAAAAATGAAATTGGGTACAATTTTACGGGACGGAGGGAGTAATAAAGATAAAATTATACTAGTATGAAAAAATAGCTAAAATGGTCATCTATAGTAACTTCAACTAGTATAGCAACAAAAGTATCTCCAACCTTTCTTTTTCTTATTATTAAACAATTCAGCGTGCAAAATTAAAAGTTACGTATTTGATTAAAAAGTTGATTGATAAGCCTGATAAACTGAAAAATATAGTTACCAAGCGGGCTCCCAATTTAAACATCCTTAATTTTCAAAAACTAGATTCGGAAAGTAGTCGAGTGATAAAAACTTTAACATTACTAATATAATAATAATATATACAAAGTCATAACAATATTAACAATAAGAATAATACTCCGTAATAATTTTTGTGTAGTCAAAATAAGAAATTGATGCAACATTCAATGTCCTAAATGTTAGCTGATGGTATTTTGGTGCGAGTGGCTGGTATATGCGATTGGTTAAAATAAGAAATTTTGATTTTAGCTTGTTAATCGTAAGACTTCTCTTATTTATCCCTCTTGAGAAGGAGGTCACATGTTCAAATCCTTCTATATACAAAACGAAGTGGGAAGACAGTCACTTTCCCGCCTAAAGTCACAGATTGTTCATTGGGTCGGGTTAGAGCTGGGAAATGAGTTTGGATCTTTAACTGAGAAATCGTACGACACATTCAATGCTCAATAAATGATGAAGTCAGACTTTTCAACATCCATTAAATGTAAGATTTTGAATTGATACGGCGTACTTTCCAAGCGATAAATTATACGTACAGTAAATTGACACGAAGCCAATTGAATGTTGATCCTTTTTATATAGATTACGTGTAAACGAGATCAATATATATTCATTGGATTTTGATGTACGAATTGGTGTAGCAGTGGACTTGATAAAATTAAATATATAAAAAGAAAAGAAAAGCCTGCAATGTGTTGTCTATTCAGATATCATGTCATCAAATTCAAGGACATTACATGTTATTAACCATTGGGTAATTTGTGAGACTTAGCCAAAGCACTTTGAAATTGAGGTATAAATACATCCAAATTTAATGAACTTCACACCACAGCAACATCTCAACATCACAATGGCATTGTACACAAATAAGAAAATAAGAATGTAATGTCATTCAAGTTTAAAGATTATTGGATCCACGAGATCAACTTTGGTTGTAATGGGCTTGAAGTTCCACCTAATTCCTTGGATGTGAAGACAACAGACGATCTTTC